ACATTTCTCTGAGACTGGCTCAGTTGGGTAATGTGATTATCTCCAGTCACATCCATTTTTCCATTCATTCCTTTAGGTACGATATTCCATGCCTGTCTGTTTACTGGGTGAGGACATATGCTGTGTCCTAGTTTGCTTCTCTGTAGATAAACACCATGGCCCAAAGCAACTTGGGGAGCAAGGGCTTATTTCCCCTAACACTTCCAGTCCATCATTGAGGAAGCCAGGGCGGGAACGGGACACAGGATGGGAGGCAGGAGCTGAAGAGAGACCGTGGAGGAATGCTGCTTCCTGGCTTGCTTCCTGGCTCATTCAGCTACCTTTCTTATACAGCCCGAGCCCACCTGCCTAGGGATGGCACCACCCACAGTGGACTGGGTCTTCCCACAGCAATTAGCAATCAATGAAACACCCTACAGACATTTCAAGCCCAGTCTGGTGGAGGAAATTCCTCAGTTGAGGCTCTCTCTTCTGGGTGTGTCTAGTTTGTGTGAAGTTGATAAACACCAGCACATGCTGCTGGGGAGTTACAAGTTTGTTTTGAGCGTCATATCACCTTTACAAAATATTTCTCTTGCGCCTTCATTTTTTCTTTTCGGCTGATTAAGACAGGGTCTCACACCTACAATGCTTCGGTCTCAGCCTCTTGAGTACTGGGACCACAGGCATGCTCCACCATGAGTAGCAGACGGTCTACATTGAGACGAGGCTGGTCAGTATCGTTTGTGGGTTGGTCTTCTTAGTGAGCATCTTCTCCTGAAAGCTATATCTTAGGATGCAGTGTTGGCTTCTTTTGAGCTGAGCACTTACACCTGCCAATTTCATTTGTTTTAAGGCATTTTTTACTTCCAGCATGTCCTCATTAATTTTCTTTGGGGATGCCCTTTACAATGTTGAAAGTGGGTTATTGAAATCCTGTGGGGACCTAAAGGCCCCACCTTGCATAGGTCTGAAAGGAAGTAACTGGGGGCTCGGCCTGGCTTACTTTGAAAGTCTGAAGAATACTTCCGCACTGCGGAGGAGTGCATGATCAGCGCGTGACCATCCTTAAGATACACCCTGGGGTGGGGGGTAGTTCCAGGTGCCTTTATAACTTTGTAACACCTGCAATAAATGAGTCCCTGCTTGACTAGGCTCCCTGCTGCGTCTGAGTGTCCCCGGGTAATGGGGGCGGCGTGGGCTGGCAAATGCGTGCTTACTCATCCCCAATCATCACCTCCCTGGGGGTCGCTGGTTCGAACCCCTGACAAAGGCCCTGACTAATATCCTATTGCAATTTATCTCTCCTTTCAGATCCTTTGATATTTGTCTCCTGTATTTAGATGCTGCTCGGTTGGATGCGTGTGTATTTTCAATTGGCATATCTTCCTGATTAACTGGGTCCTTTGTTTTGTGTAATGTCAGTAGCTGCTCCTTGGGCAGTTTAAAAGTTTAATTTGTCTTACAAAGCCACCGCGGTGGTGGGTGTTTCTCTGCACCTTCACTTTCAGGCTGTTTGTCTTTAAGAATGCAGCAGATCTCTTGTATGTAACACATATTTGCTCCTTTTAAACGCTGTTATGACAGGAGAGAGGGTCTAAATATGATCAAGATGTGCCGTATGAAATGCACAAAAATTCAGTAAAAACCTTCCATTTACTCGCTGTGGGTTTTTCCCCCATTTTTTATTGAATGTTTGCGATCACTGTTTTATTTTATTGGAGAATTTAATCCATGTGTATTCAAGATAATTACCATTAGGTAAAAATTTCCTGCTAAATTTTTGTTATCTGTTTTCTGGGTCTTCTGTAAATACCTTTTCCTCTTGTGGTCTGTGCAGTTTTGAGACTTTGAATTCTTTTTTTCTTCTGTGTCTAGATTTTTGCTTTGTGGTTACCATGCTATGATAGTTATTTTAAGCTGATACCAACTTTGCCTGCATCTGTGTATTTTTATCCCCCACCCCACATTTTAGGTTTTGCTGTCAGAATTCATACCACTCTGTAATCTGTACCCCTTGACAACTTACTTTATCTTAGTGGTTATTCATTGTTTCCCCTTTTAGCTCTCAGACTAGGAATAAAATTGATTTCTACACCACCATTCTACCCCATAATATTTTGAATATGGCTCTGATGAGTTATGCCATTGAGTTTTCTACTGTTGTAGATTTTATGTTATGACTTAGCAATCTGTTGCTTCGGCTTAAAGTATTCCTTTGGTAATCCCTGTGAGTCTGGCCTGGTGGTGAGGAATTCCCTTAGCTGTTATTTATCTGGGAATGTTTGTATTCTCTCTGTTTGGAAAGACAACTTTGATTGGTAAAATATTTATACCTAGAAGAATTTTTTCCCTTCAACACATTGAATGTATTAGCCTCTGTTTCTGGCCTGCAGAGTTTCTGCCGAAAAGTCTGTTGATAGTTATATGGAGATTTTTTATGTGATGGTTTTATCTTTCTGTTCATAAAATCTTTTCTTCTTTGGCTTTGATTTCTCTTTCTTTCTCTCTCTCTCTCTCTCTCTTTCTCTATCTCTGTGTTTGTGTATTATATGTATATATGTTTTTGTATGTGTGCATGAGCATGTGGAGGCTAGAAGTCAACATCAGGAGTCTCTCTCAATCATGTTCTACTTTAGTTTTTGAAACAGGGTATTTCACTGAACCTGGAGCTCACCAACTTAGTAGCCTAGCCAGTCAGCAAGCCTTAGGGAATCCTCTGGTCTCCACCTCCCCAGCACTGGGGTTACAGTGTCTGTCACCATGCTCAGCTTTTTATATGGTGCAACCTATGTCGCACAGGTCCTCATGCTTGTGCAACAAGCACTTATTGACTGAGTTATGCCTCTAGCACTGGGCTTTGATTTTTGATAGTTTGAATGTTCTGTGTCTTGGTGAAAAATTCTTTGGGTTAAATTTAGATCTCTGTGCCTCCTGTGTCTGTCTGTTGGCATCTCCCTTCAGATTAGGGAGGTTTACAGCCTTCCCTCTCTCCTTTCCTGATGTTTGCTGAACTGGAATCAATCTCTCCCTCCCTCCGTCCTTCCCTCCCTTTCCCTCCTGGAGACTGAGCCTAAGGATGCAGGTAAGCAGTCTACCACTGAGTGACATCCCCAGTCCTTAACCATTATATATTCCTGGTTTCTTCCTCTTTTTCTCTGTCATACGTCCTGCTTTTTTCCCTCTCCTGTTCATCGGATCATTTCAGTGTCCTGTTAGTACACGTTGTGCTCATCGAGTCCTCAGCCTGGTTGAACTGAAGTATTATATACCACTTTCCAGCTCAGTTCTTTCACCTTTGGGGTTTCTTTCTTTTTTTTTTTTTTTCCTATTTATCATTTTCTATTTTTTATATATTGTTTTCTTTTGTCTATATATTCTTGTAGCTCATGAACTTCTTAAAGAGAATTTTCTGATTTTTAAAAATTTCACAGCCCCCCCCCCCATCTGCCACGGGAGCCTTGTTAGTTCCTTTGTAGGTGGTGTGACTTCCTGAGTGCTTGCAAGCCTTGCATCCTTACATTGGTACCTGCATCTCTTGGCAGTGATGGTGCTGCAGTTGTATTCCTTCAAATACACAATGACATCTCATATCCTCCACTGAAAATGAGAACTTCTGGAGGTACTTGAGATTTCATGTGTGATAGCCAGGTCTCTCAAAGTACACTGCTGAGAAGCCATCTAGAATCAGGGCTAGGAGTGCACATGGATTATCTTGTCCAACTTGACAGAGGAGGAAACTGAGCTTGGGGCTGGCCCAGGTCCTGGCAGCAAGTGGATCATCCATGGCCTTAGCATGCAGCTGAGATGACCGCTAGGAAAGCTGGTGTTCTGTGAAACCCGAGGCTCTGCATCCTCGATGCTTTTAGTCAACATCTTCTTGAGGAAAGTGATGGGTTCCCAGGCACTTGTCCTTCTCCTTGAGCCTGGGACTTCTCAACCATCATGCTGGGCTCTCTCCTGATACCAGACTCCGGTCAGTCTTGCTGCCCCAGGGCCCCCAAAGCCCAATGACCAAACTTTCAAACCTAGTTTGGGGGTCAGTCTGACTGATCAGTCCAGCCAGGATGTGGAACTGGGTTCAAATTTCACCTTTGCCACTTGATAGCTATGTGAAAATGAATATACTCTACAGCCACTCTGTAAAAATGTATGTAAAATGTCACCAATATGGCTAGTCTAGCTTGCTTACTCTGGGGACCCCCTGTCTCTGCCTTCATCTTCCAAGGCTGGAGTTAAACACAGGCCAGTATATACACACAGCATTTCCGTGGTTTTCTGGTCATCTGAAGCACAATTTGCGTGCTTGCTGAGTAACTGCTTTAACCACTGACTCATTTCCCCAGTTCCAAAAACAATTTATGAAAAGATTGATTTAATTTTATGTGTATGTGCTTGGGTGTTACATATGTGCACGTGTGTGTAGCTGCCTGAGGGGGCCAGAAGAGGGTTTCAGATCCTCTGGAACTGGAGCTACAGGCAGTTGTGAATTGCCTAATATGGGTTCTGGGAACCAAATTTTGGTCCTTTAGAAGAGCAACAACTGCTCCTAACCACTGAGCCATCTCTGCAGCCCCTCAAAACAGTTTTTCAAAGTGAGAAAACACTGTTCAGTGTTCAGTCTCACTGTTCAGTGAGAAAACAGAACTAGTCATTAGTTTAGAATGAATACACCTGTTCTCCCCTGCCCCCACTCTTTCAGGCTATTCCTTTAGACATTAAAAAAAAACATTTTTATTTTATGTGTGTGCATGTATTGCCTGCTTGTAGGTAAGTGCACCTGTGTCGTGCAATGCCCTTGGAGGACAGAAGAGACTGTCAGATCCCCTGGAACTGGAGTTATGGACAGCTGTTAGCTGCCATGTGGGTGCTGGGATTCAAACCCAGGTCTTCTGCAAGAACAGTCAGTGTTCTTAACCGCTGAGCCATCTCTCCAGCCCCTAGACATTAGTTTTAATGTGGCTTCCACAGATCCGTGAGGACTGGAATATGTTCAGGAAATCAGAACAAAAATACTGATGTAGTTTGGAAGCAGTTTTAATGGAGATGAAAATGTTTATCAACTCAACACAGGTACCCCCAAAATACAAATCAAAATATCATCTTCAGCTGCATAGCAAATATGATTTAAGAATTTAACATCATTGTTTGATCACAAGCGTAAATATAAGTCACCATAAATAAATGTAAATTCATTGTACAAAAATTCCCAACAACTCTTAATACAAATATGGTACACATCTGACAGTTTCTGAAACAATTTTTTAAAACATTTTAAAATCTAAGCTTTTCTTAATTTTTAGATACATTAAAAAAATCAAAGTGGGGTGGGCAGGACAGTACCAGAGTGGGAAGAATATTAAACTTGTCCAGTGTCCAAAAATAAGTGCTGCTGGAGCTGAAGAAATCTCTGTTCTGGAAGTGAAGACCTCAGTTTACTGGGATCAAATCTCTTGAGGATAAAGTGACTCTTCCCAGAGGGTTAACGTTTGGGGTCATGAGTGCAGGGAGGGAGGGATAAGCTGTTGAAACAGCTCATTAGGTGAGTGGTTCACATCTCTACAAAGCACTGATCAAGGACTTGGAATGGATCCTAGAATGTAAAATCTCATAGATGTGAAGAGAAAACCAGCTACTGTTCCCAGACAGTACTGAAGCTTTGGAAGGTTCTGAAGTTTAGGAATTATAGGTAGGTTTTAGGATGGGTTTACCAGGTGGTATAGCCTCTCTCTTCTGCCTCTGAGATACATCTATGGTCTACTCAAGAGTGTGTGTGTGTGTGTGTGTGTGTGGCGGGAGGGAGGATATCAGAACAGGAAGTAGCAAATGGCAGAGGATTGGCCAGCTTCTATTTCAAGCCGCCTTCCTAAACTATGAATGGCTTATCTTGCGATCGTCTCAGAAGGACCTCAAAGCCTAGAGTTAGCAGAGTAATTCCACTACAGCAGTGGCTCTCATTGGGCAATGTGTAATCCAAAAGCATGAAGATGCAGATTTCCTGTCCTATTCCCAGAGGTTGAATTAGTACACCTGAGGTGTCCAGAAATGAAGACTCAAGTGTATTAACCTCCACCGTTCTGACTTAGTTGACCTTCGGGCTGTACAGGGCCCACTCCTCACCGGGAGGACATGCGTGCATTACACAAAGCTCTGGTTATGCACATTTCCTTTGCTCGCCTGTGTGGTTAAAAAGGGACTGTTTGTCAACCATTCCTATTCATCTTCCCCGGGGGAAGGGATCATTATTCTATTTTCTCTTTTCCTCTCTGGGCTGGGGGAGGAGTATCTATATTCTGCTTTCTGTTTTTCAGGGGCTCAGGGCTCTGGGTTCCCTCTGCAGATTACATGATGTGCTGTTCTGCATGGAGACCTGAGCATCTCCTTCAAGATCTCCCATACACAGTGAGATTCTGCAGGAGTATTTTAGTTCACTCTGGAAAACAGAAGTCAATATTCCTCTGTGAGAGAAGCTACACCCCAACAACACAGAACTTGAGGAGCAAGAGGAAGAGATCAGGAAGTTGAGAACAACAGATAAAATGCTCCAAGAATCTTTCAGCAGTTGACACAACGAAAATTCCCAATCTAAAACCAGTCTCCTTTTGGGGGGTTTATCTAGGGATTACAGGCTTGTTGACAGCATTATTTTTATCCTTTGCCTCCCTGTCGTCAAGATGTTTTTGGCTTGTGTTGAAATAGCCCCTTAAGATTTTCTTTCTGGGGAGGCATTTTCCTTGATGAGGTTCTGTACAAAGAAATGGTTACTGATTTGGTCACTGGCTAAAGCTACATCTATTGTCATGATTGACATGTCCGTTACCCTGTGTGGCCCAGTGTTAAGCATTTGCAAGTGGAACAGAGGTGGCCCATCTTACCACACTGCTGATAAGGCTTCACACATTTCCTTTGGGTGCTGGAGTTTTGGCCTGTGTTTACAGATATTGCTTCCAAATGGTAACTCTGGCTATTTTCTTAATGCAGTTCCAGTCAGTGTGACAGTCTTGAAAGCACGTCTTCCTTCACTCTAGGATTGCTCTGCAATTGGGGGGAGTTAGGATGGGTCTTGGGGAGCCTGTAAAAGGTCTGAGACAACACCATCTGTTGTCATGACAGTTGGAAACTGCTCCCTGGTTCACCAGGGGTCAGTTCCTGGTTCACCAGGGGTCAGTTCCTGGTTCAAGCACGTGCTGGGCGGTAGAATCTCTAACATCTAGAACAGGAGGAGATGTGACCAGGAAACTTGAGGGAAAAGCCTGAGAGGACACCAGGCCAGCACGCTGGGGTATGCCATTGGGTCAGGTGACATCTCTCCCATGACTACACCCTTTCATCAGCCTCTAAGACTTCAGTGCTGGGATCACATAGGGACACTGGGGAGGAAGTTACCAATGGATGGGCTGGGAGAGCTGCAAGATGGAGAAAGTAGCTCTTGGGTACAGTTAAGGGGGGAAAGAAAAAGCACACACTGCCCTGTGTTTCGTTTGTTTTTCATTTACACTATGGAAAACCCACCATGGAGATATCAGGGGAGAGCATGCAGGAGCCCAGCCCTCGGGAGTAGTGCACAAGTGCGGGGGAGGTTTCCATTTCCTTCCAGGCCCATCCCATACACTGTCCAGCTGGACCTGCTGCAGGCTGACCACTGCTGCCTCCTCCAGGTTGAAGGTCTGCAGGACTTGAGCCTAGCAGGTGGTGGCCAGTGACTGGTGGATAGGTGGCTGGAAGCAGCGCACGTGCTCCACAGTGGAACTGTCTGTCTCTACAGACTTCATGTACTTGTTCAGGATAGCAAAAACCTCATTGTTTAAGATCTGGTACTTCCTGATCCGGTCGGCCATCTTCTTCAGGGGCTGTGGAAGGAGGAGGATGCTCAGGTTAGGGTGGGAGAAGAGGAACATGGCTGGGGTTCAGATGCCTGTCTTTTCATGTCACTCTTTTGTTTAAAGACCTATGACTCCTAAATAAAATGATAAAGCCTTTGCAAGTTTTAACACTTACTGTAAAGCTACCATATCAACAGTGTGGTACTAGCATGAAGCAAGTCATGGCATAAAGACCAATGGAAAAGAACAGAGTGGTGGCCAGACACAATCTCTGTGCATCAGATCGTGACCTTCAACCAGATCAGACCAGTCAAAGAACGTGGGGAAATCGTTTCAACAAATGATGCTAGAAAAACTGGATACCTCCCTGCAGAAGAATGTTAGACTCCGAACTATGCAAAAGTTAGCTGAAAATGGATTCAAGACTTAAACATGAGTTTGGACTATAAACTTAAAAGCAAAGGAGTAAAGTCATGACACTGGATGTGGCGGTGGGTTCCTGGACAAGACACCAGAAACACAGGCAGCCAATGCGGAATGAGATCACACCAAAATCAAAACCTTTTGTGCAACAAAGGCTGTGATCACCAGAGGGAGAGAAATGCAACCCGTGGAAGAGAAAAGTATTTGTAAAATGGAGGCAAGAAGTTATTCTGAATATGGGAAAGGTGCTTGCTGCCAACTCTGACCACCCGAGTTTGACCTCCAGAACCATGTAGAGGAAGGAGAGAACTGACTCTTGCAAGCTGTTCTGACCACATACATGCTATGACATGTGTATGACAAAATAAACTATAATTAAAATAGAACTACAATTCAGCAACAATTAAAAATTAGAGAAAAGACTTGAGTAGACATTTCTCTGTAGAAAATAATGTAACTATCCATTAGGGAAATGCAAGTAAAAACCATAGTGAAATACCACTTCATACCTGTTTGATTAGCTAGGACCAAAACATAAAACCAAAACCAAGGCAGTAAAATTGCTGCTAGGAACATGCAAGTTTGGATTCTTGGGTGTTAGTGGTGGGCCTATAAAATGATGTAGCCATTATGGAAAACAGGCTGATGTAGGCCATCCCTCAAGAAATTAAAGAGGGGGCTGGAGAGATGGGTCAGTGGTTAAGAGCACTGGCTGCTTTTGCAGAGGACTGGGGTTCAGTTCCATCACCCATGGCAGCTAACAACCATCACCGCAGCTCCATGGGATCTGCGGCCTCTTCTGGCCTCTGCAGGCACTGCACGCATGAATGCACTTATATACATGCGGGCAAAACACTCATAAAATAGATTTCAGAAGAAATTAAAGAGGTGGTTCAGTGCTTTGAGTATATATTCCAAAGAATTGAAAGGGACTCAGATATTCATACAGCTAAGTTCATAGCGCTACTGCTCCTAATGGCTAAAGGTGAATAAACTCAAGGGGTCCAGCAATTGATTTTGTTTGGGATAAAATATGATGGAATGCTAGTTAACTTTAAAAGGAGAGTATGACATGCTGTAACATGGCTAAACCTCCAGGACACTGTGCTGTATGAATAAGCCAGTCATAAAAGGACAACATTGTATGATTCCTCTTATATAAGGTATAGACTCCAAAGATTCCCAGACAGGAAGCTAAATGGTGGTTTTGAGGGACTGGGGAGTTTAAATGGACATAGAGCTTCAGTTAGGGAAAGTGAAAAGGCTTGGAGTATGGTGGAGTTAGTTGCAGAACACTGTGTGGGCACTTGAAATACCACTGAGCTGCTGGGTGTACTGACACACACCTTTAACCCTAGCATTTGGGAGGTGGAAGCAGTTGGATCTCTGAGATCAAGGATAGCCTGGTCTATATAGCTAGTTCTGAACAGGCCAGCTGTGGCTACAGGGAGACCCTGTCTCAAAAAAAAGGCCCCAAGCACTCCCAACAAACAAAAACCCCATTACCTATACACTAAGAAATGGTTAGTTACAATGACCACAATTTTTAAAACCTTCGTGAGGTGGCTCTTACCTCTGTCATCTGGTCCCCAGCCTCATGCTTTGTCCCAGACACACACCTGCATGTTCTGTGCTTTAGCTATTCCCTGTCTGGAATCTGTGAAGGCTGGGGACCCCATGGACTACTGGCCATCTTACACTGGGCCCAAGCCCCATCTCCCGTGTATTGTTCTCAGCCCCCTTCCCCTTCAGAGTGCTCTGTTCTCCCACGGCAGCCTGAAGCTATCACCCATCCCGCCCTAGTGCCTGGTACAATTCTAGTGTCCAGTGTGGTGTGATGAGAGCTGAGCACCAGCAGGGTCTGCCTGGGACAGGGAGGGACATTGTAGGTCGAGAGCCCGTTTGTCACAGTAGGTTGTGAGCAGGTGACTCGCAACCTTCTCCAAGCAGGTCCCCAGCTTTTGAGAGTCTGTGCACACCTGTGGCCCCCACAAGCCGCTTACCCTCCTCTTTCCTGAAAATGGCCTGTTGCCAGGCACATCGGCTTACCACATTCTTAATGATTTCGTCCTTCCCGTCCTGCCTCTGCACTTTAAGCAGGTGGTAACAGAAGTCAAACAGGTCAAAGCGCCGTTGTTGGCCCAGCAGGACGATGATGGAGCAGCCAGCCCAGTTTAAGCCGTCACCGAAGCACTGCCTAGAGTTGGGGAAAGGAAGCAGCTGGAGTGAGAGGAAGTGGCTGGAGGAGAGGCAGAGGAGAAAAGGTCTTCACTGGGGCCCGATACAGCTATGGAGCAGGCTTGTCTGAGGGCCAAGACCCTGCATCTGTAAAGGAGGCACAAGGACACTCAGGGTGGATTTTTGTTGTTCTACAGGCTTTGGCTATGAGTCCTTCTAACCATGAAGAAGTGTGGATCCCACTGAGGTAACAGCAGCTTGGAAGAAGAGATGACTTTGCAAAGAAACCCCCAACTGAATGGCGTGCGTGCGTGGGTGGGTGCATAGGCCCGAGGCTGATGTCTGGTACCTTCCTCGATTACTTCTCTACCTTTTTTCAGACAGTTTAATTCAACCTGAAGCTAGACTAGCTGGTCAATGAACTTCCCAGGGATCTTCTTGTCTCAGCCTTTCCAACATCTGAATTACAGATCGAGGCACACCACCCCACCTGTTTTCTTTTTTCCCCCAATTCATTTTTTTTTAAATGAAGTGCACATGGGGGTGGGAGGGAATGTGCACATGAATCCAGGTATCTTTGGAGGTCAGTGGCATTGGATCTCCCTGGACCTGGAGTTACAGGTGGTCATGAGCCTCCCCGTGCCCCCGCCCCACATGGGTCCTGAGCACTGAACTTAGGTTCTCTGCAAGAGCAGTATTCGCTCTTAACTGCTGAGCCATCTCTCTCCAGCCCCTCTACTTGGCTTTTTAGTGCTGCCTCTATAGGATGGAACTTGAGTCCTCTTGCTTGCAATGAACCTTTTCTTCAGCACCAACTAGCCAGTCTTTGAGACTTAAGTGGCTGGTCACTTGAGGCCAATCAGAGGAGACTTTCTTGGCTTTGTGAGGTGAAAGGCTAGGCATGGTGGAGACAGGAAGCCATGCTGCTGGTGTGGGAGATGTGAGTTCTGTGGGCTCTCATAAAGCTCTATGAGCTCGACTCCCAATAGACACTCAGATGGCTGCGGGGTCATCCCTCTGCCCCCTTCTTGGTCTGAAGTAGTAGCTCAGCATGAGCTAGGCAGGTCCCCTGCTTCCCTATCAGTGGACTGGAAAGCCATGATCCCCACAGGGTGCTGGTCTTTCTCTTCCCACCCAACAGCAGGTCCTCAGGGAAGCCTTTTCAGCGCCCCCATGCCCTTTCCTTTGCAGCTCTTGGTTCCGAGGGCCAGGTCCCTCACTTCCACCACAGCACCTTCCACATTAACTAGACGAGAGCGGAAGAATGGTGCTCTGCTGCTGTCTTCCTTGTGGATGGGATGGGGTCATTCCAAAGGGTTCTTACCTCCCAGGAGTGGACTTGTATAGGGGTGAGGTGGGCAGTGATGCTCCTACTGACGACCCTTCTGAGGTTCATTGCCACCCTTTATTCTTGAGCCCCAGAACTTGTGACAGCCATTTGCTGCTTCCCCAGATCACCCTTTCCCTTTGTAGACTCACACCCCAGGTACAGTTCTGGGCTCACTTCTAGTCTCTGAATTCAGGTCTCCAACTTACCCAGCTCCATTCTCTAGCACCTGCATCTGGCTCTTGCTGCCACCCAGCCTCACCCGACACCCCTCGCATATGTCCTTCCATCTCCTGTTTGGTCCCTTTGGCTCTCTGAGACTAGAAGTGGTCTACCTTTTCCATGCCCAGCTCTGGCACAGTGACCAATATACTTGGTATCATCATTCTTGGCCACATTGGCCCCTGTTCTCTTTTCTGGCTAAACCCTGGCAGCCCAGTGACATTCAGTGGGGAGGAGAGGGGAGGCAGGTGGCTGGTGGGCGACACTCACTCAGCTGTGAACTCATTGGTCCCCACAGGGATGCAGTAGACGAACTGCATGGCACTCCACAGCCGGTGGAACTCCACACACTCGTCCACATGCATGACGCCATTGGTGGGTGGTGGGCCCCTCCAGATGGGGTCCTGTAGGTAGCTCCGAATGCGAGTCAAGATGACCTCGAACATGGACAGGCCACAGCAGAGCCGCTCCTTGGTCAGTAGGTCACCCTCCCGAGCGATGGCAATTTGCTGGGAAGGGAAGGTTCCATCAATGTTCCATCCACATTTGAGGTCCCACCTGTGACCTCCCACTAGAAAGTTCCAGACACTGGGGGTGACCACACCTAGAATTTGTTCAGCAGGACTGACAGGCTGCCCAGAGCAGGGTACTGACTGTGAGAACCTGAGGGGAACAGCAGGGAAGTCTTGTAGTAACTTTCATTCATGGTGAGTAAAATCCAGGTGCTGTCAGTGGATGAATGATTCTAAAAAATGATCTGACTACAAAAGGGAATGTTAGCTAGGTGCTGAAAAGTCTGAAGTAATCCTAGCAGGTCTTCAGACACTAGAGTATGTGATACACCAGGCTCTGCTCGGGCGCCTACCTCATTCACAGGCGAGGAGACAGGCTCAGAGAAGCAGCCAAGAAAGGGAGAAAGCTTGGATTCGGTTCAAAGCATCTTTTTAAAATTTTATTATTTTTATTTTATGTGTATGCGTGTATTGCCTGCATGTAGGTAAGTGCACTGTGTTGTGCAATGCCTGCAGAGGTCAGAAGAGGTTGTCGGATCCCCTGGGACTGGAGTTACGGACAGTTGTTAGCTGCCATGTGGGTGCTGGGATTCGAACCTAGATCTTCTGCAAGAACAACCAGTGTTCTTAACTGCTGAGCCATCTCTCCAGCCCCTCAAAGCATCTTAGATCTACAGGTTAAACTATAAAGCGAATTCAGCAAGTTGGAGAAAATGACATGCTACAATCCTACCATCACTCCATGGATGACAAAACATACATGGTGTAAGACATTTTAGAAAGAATAAAAATACTTGTGCAAGCAGCTGGATGGGCTAGGAGAAATGGTGAGATTTTTAATTTCTACTTTCAGTAGTTCCGTACAGTGGAATGTGCTAGAGAGAGCTATGTTACGGTTTTAAAATCTGTCACTGACTTCACAGAATTATTTTCTCTAGTTAGAAGCCCTTCTTTGATGATATGAATGCTCTCTATTAATAATTCAGACTTCTCATCTGGTCCTGGCTACTGCATATCCAATACTCAGACAGGCACATCAAACATGAGTGAAAATATCTAAGAGCAAAGGTGCCGAGAGCCATCTGCAAAGCACATATTAAAATCTAAGGTCACAGTGAGGTCTTTTAGTCTGGGAACAAAGCTAAAGAGACTATGGCTTCTGAGACAGCCAGAGCCACAGGACACATGTGGGATCAGCTCCCAGTGGGAAAGGAGGGCTCCCAAGGAGCCTGTTCGGCAGAGGACTGGGAGGTATTGCCGGTTGGTGCCTCAAAGCTGCTTCCCCCCTCTCCAAAGAGAGCAGCCTCTAAGTAAATCCAGGAAGGGAAATAAATCAGGATGTGAATGAAGCCTGTGAGGAATGTGGGCCATGAATGTGGTTGTCATGACAACTGCAAAGTGAAGGGTCCAGGAAGAAAATGAGTTGGAGAAGAGTTTGCTGATGTGTTTTAAACACAAAGGGGAGGGAGCCCTGACTGATGGCAAGTCAACTTGTTTCCACAGGCAGACACAGCTCATGACAGAGGAGGCCACTCAAGCTGTCACAGGTAGCAAGAAAGATCAGCCTGGCAGCAGATTCTGCTGTCTCGATTTTACTCTGTTCTCCTTGGCTCTCCACATGAGAAAAACGAGCATCTGGTACCCAAGAGATGCTCAGTAAGTAAAGAACCCATCTACGTTCTCTTCAGTGAACAGATACGACTTCTGGTGTGCTAGTTGATCTGCTGTCCATTTGGTCATCCTCAACCAGTCAAGGTCTGAGGACCCTGATGAGGAAGCCAGACCCACTGGAAACTGAATTTATAAAACTGAAGGTTGACTTTGAACTCTCCACACACCATGGTCCCTTTCCTTGCAAAGTGTTCATCCTCAAAATTCTTTCTGTGAACCATAAAAGCAATATGCATTCATTGGGTAAAATTTGGGACAAATGTAAATAACATACAAGAAAGAAAATATTCCACTTATCCCATGGCCTAGAAACAAGCTTTCTTAAAATATGGATATATGAATAGTCTTTGTGGTTATAAATATGTATCTATTCATACATATTTAACAGAACTTGGATCATCTATCTATATTACTATTTTTCACTCATATCTGTGATTTAAAAACTCATTTCCACAATTCATTCAGTACCATGATTTTTATAAGGCTATCTAAAATAGCCTCTGATTAATTAGTCCTCTACCCTTGCTGGCTATTTTAAATTGTTCATAAATTTTCACTGTTAGTACAATTCTAACTGCCCTTATACACTGCATTTTGCAAAACTTCTCTCTTGTTATCCTTTGTCATTTTGATAGGATAAGTCCCTAGTCTCAGAGGGGGGTCAGAGAATATAAATATTTGTGTATTTATATGTATTTATGTGTCTGGTGCTTTGCCTGCATGTATGTAAGTGCATCCCTGGCCCATGAGGCAAGAAGAGGGTGTTGGATCCCCTGGAACTGGAATTACAGAAGGTTGTTAGCAGTCATGTAGGTACTGGGAACCAAATCCAGATCCTTTGCAAGAGCATCCAGTGCTCTTAACCACTAAGATCTCGACAGCCCTTGCTGGCATATTTTTTAATGTGAGCTTTTTTCTTATCATTCTCTCTCTGTGTGTGCATATGTGTGTGTATATGCACTTGTCTGTGTATGTATGTGCATGTGGTGGTCAGAGGTTGACTATTTTTCTCTGCCTCTCTCACTGAACCTGGAGCTTGATGTATTGGCTAGGGTGGCTGCCAGCAAGCTGCTGAGATCTGCCTGTTCCCTCTTCCCCAGTGCTGAGGTTACAGGCATGTGCCACCACTCCTGGCTTTTGTGTGTGTGCGCTAGGGTTCTGAACACAGATTCTCATGTTTGCACAAGAAGCACCTTACCCAGAGAACCACAATTTTCTTCTTACACTGGAAAAAAAAATCTCTCTAGAGAGCTTGATGCGAACACCCCGTTGTGGCTTGTTCTCATGTATGGAGGAGGGTTTATAATAGCTCTTATCTACTCCCTGTACTTTCTGTTCTGCATGGGGGGTCTTTTCCCTGTGAAGTCATCTTTTTGCACAGAGAACTCTGATACATGTAGTACCTTGATTACATGCATAACTTCTCAATATTCTTTTTTAGGGCCCTTTATATATTTTAAATTCTTTGATTTGGTATTGTAATAGTTAAGAAAGGCAGCCCCTACCATACTTTTTGTGGAAATACACTAATTTTTCTGACTGCATTGATGAGGCAGCTTTTTCCTATTCCTTTCCTCTGTAGCATTCAAAAGGCCATACCCTGGAAGTGCAGGAAAATTCTCACAAAGAACAGAAACGAAAAACTTATCACAAGAACCCTAGGGAAGAAAAAGGGAAAATACGATTTTTGTCAAGTGGAATGTAAGTGTAGAGACGTTCCCTCACTGATCAGTGACTGCCCTGCATCATTCTGGAAGTATTTTATCCTTCCAGATGTTAATGGCATAATTCATTTAAAATTGTGCAGTGGTGCACACCTTTAATCCCAGCACTCAGGAGGTAGAGGCAGGTGGATCTCTGTTAGATCAAGGCCAGCCTCATCTACACATACTGAGTTCTAGGTCAGCTGGGTCTACAGGGAGACCCTGTCTCAAAAAAACCAAAACCAAAATTAATTTAAAAAGGTGAAACAGTTACTATACCATTTCATAGATGGGAAAACAAGACCTAGGCTTTAAAATAGTTTAGATTATGTGATACTTTGGGGAGAGGCCTGGACAGTGGTGCTGGTTGACAAACCAGGTCATCTCAATTTGACTCAGAAACGAATGCAAATGATGTAATGCTGCTCAAACTTCCTTGCTTTAAGCCTGCCAGATATTTCCTGTTACTGACCCAGATTTTACAGAAGTTCTAGCAGAGAAAATTTAGCAATCTAGCTTTGACAGTAGATTTGGTCAACATTTCTTTGGCCTGTGCCAAGATGAAGTTTTATTTTCTCATTTAATTTTTTGTTCACACATTAGTGGGATCCAGTGTGGAATTTCCCCATGTGCATACAGTGGGTATTGGGGTACTGACCCTATCCTGCCAGTCCTCCTCCTCCTTTCATAGTCCCTAGTGACTCCAGGTTTACTTCCAGGCTGACTTGGTTTTACTCTTAAGCCTATGGAGAAGTAGGCAACTTATCAAACTGGGATTTCCTCTCTCACTAGGCTCTTGTCTGTTAAATACTCAGCCCTGGACAAATTGAGATTCCTATCAATCCCAAGGAAATGGGGTTCACAACCCAGGAAAGAATGCACAGTCCTCTAAGAGGAAACACATGCCAAGCCCCTTAGGCCTGAGAAGCTGGATTCTTGCACGATGAAACCCAGAGAGCAGCAGGCACACTGACATGCCGCTGGCTTGGGGGATTTCTCCCTAAAAGGAATGGTTTTAGAGGATTTCCTCTGTTCAACCTCTGCCGGCCAAAAAAAGGCAGACTGCAGACTCTATAGCGTCTGAATTTGCTCTGCTGTGAGCCAGACTCAAATGTCTCTTTCTGTTGGTCACCATTTGTAGTAGGAGGCCGGTGGCCTGCAGGGAGACTGGTGTGGGTGACTTCAATGTGACACCTGTGCGGGGGGAGGGGGGCTCGGCATTGTGCTCTACACACCTGCCCCATCTGGCCTGGAGAGTGGCTACCTCCTGCACTCCCATGACAGCATGAGTCCTTCTGACCACTGTGATACCCCTCAAAGGAATGCAAGTCCAGCGTGGCTTTAATCCCAGTCCTACAGTAGTCCCTGTGGGCAGCAAAATAAACCAGCTGGCTTGTGCCCCCTCTTCCTGGATTCTTCCTGTTCTTGTCCCCAAGTGAGAAGCTTGCTAACATGAACTTGGCGTGAACAAAGCAGTAGACTTTTTTGCTGCTTCTCTCTCCATATCTCTTTTGTCCTGTCTTTCTGTTCCAAGGGCAGAGGTCCTGTCTTACCTAATTCAGTATTCACAGTGACAGTACCACCTTTAAAAGGTTAATTACAGGTTCGACAGGAGCCCTTGCAACTCTGAAAATACTAGAATGTTACAGATAAAACTCAAATCATCTTTGGCCCCTCATCCTCTCTCCCAGTCTGTCTCCATCTTTGTTCAGAGGTTGCTACCATAATGAACTAGGTTTGGAACATTCCAGAAGTTTTCAGGGAAAGCTTTACTTACACAGTTTTGGTATATGAATGTTTTTGAAAACTAAATGGCATTATTCCATGTGAAATATACTTAACTCAAACTGAAGGTCTAGCCACTGTTTGGTGCTCTTAAATTTTTCCTTTCTATTGTATATTTAGTAATTTTTCAAAAAATTTATTATTTTTATGTGTGCATTGCCTGTATGTAGGTGGGTGCACTGTGCTGTACAGTGCCCATGGAGATCAGAAGAGGGTGTTGGATCCCCTGAACTGGAGTTACAGATGGTTGTTAGCCATTATGTGGGTGCTGGGAATCGAACCCAGGTCCTCTGCAAGAGCAGCCAGTGCTATTAACCACTGAGCCATCTCTTCTGCCCGCTACATTTAGTAATGCTGAATGTACAGGTATGTAGAGTTTAGATGGGTATACCATATTGCACTGAACCAACACTTCACAGATAGAAATTTAGGCCCTTTCCAGGTTTCCCTTCAACAAACAATGTGACCATAGGTTCTCCTGTCCTTGGGTTTCCTGAAAACAAAAACAGAAACAAGACTAGAAGTAAACTGTGGGCTCAGAGGATGTGGAGTTTTAATTTTGAGAGACAGTGTTGCAGAACTCCTGGTACTTGGCGGGGTGGATGATGAGTGAGCAGCCTCCCTCTTTAGCAGAACTCCTGTACAGGAGTAGAAAGAACTTGGGCCTGAGGGTCAGCAACCCTTTGCTACGCCTGCTCCTGTCAGAACTGGCTTTATTTATCAACACTCTCTTCTCTCTGCCTCAGTTTCCCTAGCTGAAAAATGAGCAAGCTGGGCCCAAAGCTCTTCCCTCTCACATTCCTTTGGGCCCATGATAGGAGGTTTGTACCTGAGGTGTCCCCAGTCGTTCGATCAGGGGGACCAGGTGAAGGGGGGCATACTTGGCTTCCAGGCGCTTCATCCGGACTTCCAGGCGCTCTCCCTCTGCAGAACCAGCAAAGAGGTAGAAAATGAATGTGTGAGCAGAGAAGGGGCTTCTCAGAGGACAGGGTGCTGCCACTGTGTTCCAGAACTTGAAATGAGCATGTAGAACTTTCTCCTTGGTTCTGGAAACTGGGTGAGGACTCACTACCAGGGAATATTCCCTCTGAGCTCCATTCAAAACCAGAATAACACATCTAGTAAAGTGGCAAATTCCCTTTCACTCGAGGAGCTTAAGCCAAGGCCAGTAGCAACACAATAAGACAGCCTGGAAGGTGCGAGGAGCAAGGCCAGGCGTGCCACTCCCAATCCTGCAATATTCTGTGGGTGACCTCCTTCCTGGCTGTTTGCAGACAGGAGGTGATGGGGTTAAGAAGTGAGCACAGGGCTGGAGAAATGGCTCAGTGGGTAAAGCACCTGAGGACCCGAGTTCAAACTCCTGGAACTCATTTTACAGTAGTGTGTATCTGTAATCCCAGCACTCCTATGGCAAGGTGGGAGCATCCCCAGAGGTTTGCGGGCCAGCTGGCCTATATAGGCAGCTGCAGACAACGGAGACTGTTGCAAACAAGGTAGGAGGTGAGGATGACATCCAAGGTTGCTCTGACCTCCATATGCACACTATGGCACACATGTATCCGTATTCATATTCGCATAGGCATGTACAACACACACAAAAAGTGATTATAAGTTCAAATGCAAGAGGGCTGTCTGGTTCTGGTAGTGGTTTCTTACCTTTGATGTAGACTCTGGGCAGGATATTTTGGAAGGGTGCAGCATGGAGCAGATCACAGACTTCCTCCTGAGACTGTAGAGATGGAGGGAAAGGAAAAGAAAATGATTTTCACACTCAGCCAAGAAGAATTTCACTCCTAAAACCTTGAGAACTAGAGCCAGTCAGAACTGGGTTCAACTTGTAGGTAGGCTACTTAATCACAGTGTGATTTCTCTATCTTCAGAACGAGGATGTGAACAGAACCTGGATTAACGGGCTGTTGTAAGGATGGAGAGAATCCATAACCCCAGGGCTCAGTCCCAGGCGTGTGAGAGAGCTCAGTATATTTTTACCATAATCTTATAAGGAATTAGTTGAAGAATTACAATGAATGAATCCCAGAGGGATCAGAGTAGAGGGTTGCAGGACTCTGTGTCTGCTTGGTGGTGAAGTCTATAGGATTAAAGAAGATAGCTAGGGTGTGTGTCGGGGGCCTGGGAAGATGCCTCAGTTGGTAAAGTGATTGCTGATCTCTAGCACTCAGGTGAAAATCAGGTGTGGTGGTTTGTGTTGTAATCTCTGTGGGGGGCAGGGGGAGGCAGAGACAGCAGATCCCTGGGACTCACTGTCCAGCCAGTCTAGCCTAACCAGTGAGAGACCCTGTCTCAAAAAGGGGTTGCTCTTGAGGAGTGACACCTGAGGTTGACCACTGGCTTACACACACACACACACACACACCAACATGCATACACAAACACACATGCACACACGTAGTTGGGCTAATCCTGTAGTCTGCTAATCCAGACTCTGGGCAAAGGTCTGTGTCTGGTTTAGTTTTTTCCATGTGAGGCACCAACCAGTGAGAGACAAGAAACTGGAACCCAGGTCAGACAGGTTTTGATGGGGACAAATTTTGCATAAAGTTGACTTAAAAATAAAAGTAAGCTGGGCGTGGTGGCACACGGCTTTTATCCCAGCACTTGGGAGGCCAGCCTGGTCTACACAGTGAGTTCCAGGACAGCTGGGGCTACAGGAGACCCGGTCTTGAAAAGACAAAAAAAAAAAAAAAGTAAGTAAAAGGCGAAAGATTTATACGCTTAAGAAAGTTGTTAGGAAGGAGTAATTCCTGAACAGAAACCAGAAGGAAGTGGAGAAGCCAGCCGTGTAGATTCAGCATTTCGGTTGTCAGCCTTTGGTGGCTGCACTATCCCTCCAGCCCAAGCCATATAAATTTAGGTTAGGCCTTTCCAGTGAGTAAGGTTGTGGTTGGAGTACCGGCACAGAGGGACTCACAGTACACATTGCACGAAGTCTCTAAGGTAGGGAGCAACAAAACCGCGCAGGGCATTGAAGTCATGGCGCTAAACTGGGATTTTCTTTTATATGTGTAGAATAATTATTCAAGTTGCTCCAAGTAGCAGTTTGGGACACATAACCCCACCGCCAAATATTCTTGTCTCCCAAAATATTTTCTTGCATTTCTAAAATGCCTCATGACTAGAAGGCACGAAACATCAGCATTCTATTCTGTAAATGTGGGTAAACTCATCAGAAGCTACTTTAGAGGACAGATCAAAGAAAAGAAGGCCCTGAGCCCTCTACAAGAACAGTGCCGTGACTTGGTTCAGTTTACATGATGAGCTTCGACTTCAGATTTCTTTGGGGGAGATGAAAGCATTTCCTCTGACCACTTTGAAACCCTTTCTCTCCCCGGTTTGCAAAGAGAACCAGAGCGTGGGTGCCCTTCCAGCTAGAGGCTTCTCGCATACCCCCTCTCCTTTGCAAGGATGCCATTTGTGATGAAGGTGAGGAAGCATGGGAGGGTGACTTTCTAAGAGAAGTGGGAAGGTCCCAGAGGAGGAGCTAATATCCATTTGCATAATGAGGTAGCTCCAGACTCAGCAACACCTTGTGTGGGAAGTATTTGTTTGCCATTCATTAGCTGAGATCATTGCCACAGAAAGAAACAACGAGTGGGAACAGACAAAGGCCTGTGTGAGGGACAGAACAAGCCTCCATTGTGGAGCTTGTGCTAATGGCTGGCGTCTCTCTCCTCTGATCAGTATGTCAAAGCATCTGCCCAGGACCCCACCAAGCCACTCCCTGCTGGACAAGGCCCTGTCCTCCCTGTGAAGCCCACTCAGCAGTGGTCTTTACTTGTCTCTGGGTCTGGGGCCACCCCGGAAGCTTTGTTCTCTCTCTGGCATGATCCTGAATCCATCTCTTCTTCCTGACTCTTCTGCTTAATAAACTTCTTTCTTTCAGATCTCAGCTCAAATATCATCCCCTGAACACTTCTGGGAGCCCTTGTGTGCCTTTGCTAAATGTCTTCAAAGAATCACATTCTTTTCTTTTCAGCATTTGAGTTCAGCATATATAAGCCAAGTAGCTAATATCTACCTCCTCTACTGGAATTTATCTTCTAGAAAGGGACAGTTATTTTATTTATTTTTACCGTATTTTTTATAACACTCCCCAAATGTGCCAATAAGTGACCAGTAAACAAGCAGAATACAATTTCATTGCCCAGGGGCTGGGGATGTAATTCATTTGGTAGAGTGCTTGTCTAGCATGCATGAAGCCCTAGGTTCAATCCCTATGACCCCATAAGCTGGGCACAGTGGTGCACATCTGTCACCCCAGCCCTGGGAAGGTAAAGGCAAGAGAATCCAGAATTCAAGGTTACCCTTAGCTACAGAGCAAGTTTGAGGCCAGTTTGAACCACAGGAGAACTTGACTCAAAAAAAAAAAAAAAAAAGAGAGAGAGAGAGAGAAACGTTGGTTGTACAGGTGTGTATGAGACTTGGGACTTAGAGTAGAATCTCCCCATTTTGTTTTTCCTATGTAGGACTGGATGTTTCTCTTTATAAATAAAGGAAATAAGTTTCCTTCAATCTGAACTATGCAAAATATTTTAAATAAATGCTTCATGGAATGGAGTTTTGGGGTGGTTTTACATTTTCTCTTCCACTCTCCCTCCCCTCCTGGTGCTCACACCCCCCGATTTGTATGTATTTGCTGCATTTTCTACACTGACTATATATAATTTTGAAAACTAAACTAAGAAAAACAAATCAAAACCACCAAAGCCTGAAAGCAACTAAGTCTTCTTAATTTTAAAATAAAAAGCCTTTTTAGGAGTCCTGTTGCAGAGAAGGCGATGAAGTCCTGCCTTGGTCCACAGAAGGATGCTTGCACAGGCGCAGTATAAGTAGTCTTAGGCTACACTTAAGGACAAATCACTGATGCTGAACAAAATATAACTATTATTTTAAAACATACAGTTGTGATGATGTAAGAGCAAGGCTGGCAGGGGCAGGTGGAATGCCCCACCCCGGTGTTACCTTCCTCAGTTTTATGGTCTTTCATTCAAAGGAGTTATAGTACTAAATCATGTTTCTAACAGCAGTTGAGGGGTTGGTGCACTATCATTACAAGGAAGAATGAGAAGAACGAGGATTAGAATAACTATTGAGAAGACAGGAGAGACAGAAATGAGCTAGAATCTCATCTTTCCAACCACAGAGTCCATAAATACCAGGTGAAGTTGCTGTTGGGGCATTGAGGTTATCTTCTATTGAATGTTATTACATAATAGAAAAACTAGAAACAGCAGTGATTTAGACAGGCTGCCTTGGGGGTGGGCAGGTGCAGCTAAGCCAGGAGGCACACCCTTCTTCAGTAGCTCCTTAGTAGTACTTGATTTGTTATCACGTGCAATCAGGAATAATTTAAATAGAACAAGCTGAAGAGCTTCCCGTAAGTGACTCTAAGGATCCTAGCCCCAAACAAAGTCTAGAACAAGGTAACTGCTTTGTTCTTCAGGGAAGTCAAGGCAGGGGCAGGTACTGAGCACTGACTTTGCCCAGGTACTTCCTGCGTCCTGCCTTCTTTGGCTTTGGCTATCTCTGTGTCTTACTGTCCCCCTTCTGTGGTGAGGTCATTCAGCACTTGGTGGTACTGACGGTTCCTAGCTAGATCCACAGAGCTACTAAGCAGTGAGGCTGACACTGAGAGACCCAGGGCCACCTCCCCTCAGCGCTCGCTGTTGAGTGGCAGTTCACACGGCCAAAGCTTGGGAAGTGCCATGGTCTGTCTGCCTCCAATAAAACCCATGTTTAAACTTAATCTTGAAAGTCTTCTGTTAATGGTATTTGGAGGTGGGGCATTGAGGAGATGAATAGCCCATTGTGGATGAATTCGGTCATGGGTGTCTGGAGCGCTAGATCTGTTCTAAAAGCCAGTTTGCTTTGTCTCTTGTTGGAAGCCCTTCACCATATGACACCTCAGGACAGCAGAGTCCCACCAGCAAAAAGACGTCATCAGATGCCACCTTGAACGTCCCAGCCTCCAGAACAAAAAAGTCAATCTATTTTCTTTACAAACTACTAGCATCAGGTAGTAGCCAGTCAGCATAGCTTAATTAGCGAGTTCTTAATTAGTGAGGCCAGTGAGAGGCTCTGTGTCCAAACACACACACATAGATAGATAGATAGATAGATAGATAGATAGATAGATAGATTAGAGAGAGAGGAAGAGAGAGAGAAT